TCCCAGTCCACATCCGTAAAGTATACCCATCTTAGGTGGGACTTTTGATTGAATGTACACTAGGCAGAAAACCCAGGTTCTTTGCTCTGTTATCAGCAAAGCTGGGCACATTTCCTACTTAGTGTAATGCAGTTGAGGGTGATACAACGTTTGAAGGAAATTTGAGTGCTGATTTCCAAGGAGAGAGCAGTCCAGTTTATGGCAGTTGGTTAAATGAAGGGGAAATGGCATCCCACATATGCTAGTTAATTGAGATATGCCATTGTAGTTCTTATTTTCAAAAAGTGAAATAAAAACCACCTACCAAAAGTGGGTTCTAGGTCAACTCAAGCCTGAACTCTCCCTAGAAGCTAAAATGACTAAACTGAAGCTATCGCTCTTGGGTCACATTATGAGAAGACAAGAGTCACTGGAGAAGACAATAATGCTAGGAAAAGTTGAAGGCAGCAGGAAAAGAGGAAGACCCAAGAAGAGATGGATTGACTCAATCAAGGAAGCCCTGGACCTCCGTTGGCAAGACCTAATCAAAGCTGTTAACGATAGGATTCATAGGGTCTCCATAAGTTGGAAGCAACTTGACAAAACAACACACATGCACACACACACACTAGAATCTCAATTTTCGTATCAGATAGAGCTGTACATATGTAAGTGTAGAGCTTTGGGGATACATCCTGTTGGGTGGGCGAATGAAACTACTTAATTTGCATGTTGGGAGGAGTGTGTGTAGGAGTTGGGAGGAGTGTGTGTAGGAGTGACTGGAAGGAGAAAAAACTGGGTAGGATGTGGAGCATGAGGCCTAATCCTTTGTCTCTCCGAGGACCGGAGTGCTCGAGAGGCCTCAGCTGAAGGAGGTTTTGTCTGGTGCGGGCCCTCCCTTGATGGAAATCACTTCTTCTGGAAGAGGTTGGCCTCCAGACCATCTATCTTTGAACTGAAGCTGATTTCTTTTCTAGGATGGTGAGGAGGAAGGCCTTGAGAACATTCCTTCCAACTGGAGGCCTGCCTCTGAGGGACTGCAGGTGGACCAGCTTGAACAAGAAAGCAGTATTTCTGGGACGCGGACTCCTGGACCTTTCGTTTGGGAAGGGAAAGGAGTTTGGGGGTGGGGAGTACCATACCCTGTGTGCAGACCTGTATTTTCCTTGTTTTAATAAATAGTTGCTTTGCTTAAGCCAAGGTGTGTGAGTGGGGGGGGGGGTCTTTAAGAAAGCAGGCCCTAAACCTTGAACTTGCCCTTCTTTCTGTCACCTGGGTTACATAGGTGTCTGTCATTTAATGAGATTAAAGAATGTAAGGCGAAGTGGTTTTATCTGTTTAGCTTCCAAAATAAAATAAAAAAACTCTTCTGCTGAAAGCCAGGAAATTGAACAGAGCACATACATGTAAAGTTGAAAGTATTACCATGCTGCAAGCGGCATTTCATCACTGAATCTTTTATAAGCCTTCCAGAATATTCAGTGCATTAGCTAACTTTTCCTTCCTACATGTGTGGGTGTGTAAATCCCAGCAGTCAATAAACCATTTTCTTCTGTATATGTGAAAACTTGAAAGCCGCACTGGTCAATAATGTCACCAATTTTGTGCTCATTTCATTTCTGCTAGCTGGAAAACCTTATGTATCACTGCAGCATTGGATGTTCGCCCACATGTTTCAAATACATTTTTTCTCTCTTTCCTTTTGTATTTAAAAAAACGTTTTCAGGTCATCAGTTTCATTAGATTATCCATGACTTTCAGTTAACCTTTTACATCTTAAAATTTCTTCAGTCTTTGTACATTATTTAATATTTCAAAACTCTGCAATGTTGTTTCATAAAGGCTTCCTAATTAATGTAGTAATTGATTACATGGCTGAGCTCACTCTTCTGAAATCAACCCCTGTGGCCTGTTTGAAAACCAAATGTAGAATGAAAGCATTCCACTGGGATGTCAACTTAAAAGACTGGAACTTTTATCGCACGAAATCGATTTATATCATCTTTCCATTTAAAAAAGAATCTGAACGTCTTCAAAACTTTTTGTAATGCCTTTTTAATGCAAATGTCCTGATGACTTGGGAAGTGTGAGTGCTTGCCGCACCTTTTTTCCTGAAACGGCTTCACCATTTTGTCATTCCTCCTCGTCATTCTACTGAAGTACATGTTTCTTATGAGTACAGCTTCATGTGGACTGTTCACAATTACAAGGATTGTTGTTGGAAATTGCTCTGTGCAGCTGTAGCAGCGGGGCTGGGAGAAACATGAGAGCCGAGCCAGGTGCTTGCTGTACCTCATAGACAATGGCCTTTCCCACCCGCCTTCCTCCCCCTCATCTTGGTATTTCCCCAAGAGAAATCACCTCCAGTAGCAGAAAAGGATGCTTGCCTTTTTTACTCTGCTGTGACTTAGAGTGACCGTTAGTGGAGTTTACAGTACAACCCTGACAGTACTTCCCGGGGAGTAATTCCAGTGAATTTACCTGAGTAGGATCTGACTGGGACTGCTTAAAATTACTCTCTAGATAGTAGTTTCTGTTGAAGAAAGAGTAGTAGGAAGAAGGGGAATAATGAGCACCACGACCCAATCCAGGTCCCTGTCCCCACATCTGCTTCTTACTGTTAAAGAGAATGTTGGGAAGTCCAACCTATGTCGTTTGGCCCTCCAAGGCATAAAAGTGAGCCCAGAAGTATACAGGATAAGCAGGGTGGCAATCAGGAGCTCACTGACTTGCTTCGCCTGTCAACAATCTGTCAACAATGCCCTTCTGCTGTCTACAAGAGAGAAACAGGTCAGACTGTTCACAGAAGACCCAAGAAACACAAATGTGACATTGTGTGCATAAAGTAAGGAGCTGCGGTGGCTCAAGTGGTTAAGACGCTAAACTGCAGGCTGTGGAAGGTTGGTAGTTCAGCAGTTCGAGAACCGAGTGTGCCGCATGACGGAGTGAGCTCCCGTCTCTAGTTCCAGCTCCTGCCAACCTAGCAGTTCGAAAGCAAGAAATTGCAAGTAGATAAATAGGTACCACTTCGGTGGGAAGGTAACAGCATTCCACGGAAGGTAACATGACCACGGAAGGTAACATGACCACGGAAACGACCACGGAAACGTCTTTGGCTTTGAAACGGAGATGAGCACCGCAACCCTAGAGTCGGACTTGACTGGCTTTCGAGCAAGGGAACCTTTACCTTTTACCTTTAAACATAAAGTGCCATTAAGTCACAACCGACTTACGGTGACCCCAGCAAGGGGCTTTCGAGGCAAGTGAGAAGCAGAGGTGGCTTGCCATTCCCTTCCTCTGTAGAGTCTCTTTTTTGTTGGTCCTCTTTCCAAGTACTGACCCTGCTTAGCTTCCGCGATCTGACGAGATTGGGCTACACCATGTCGCCTTCCCCCTAAATGTGACATTAGAAAACACCATTTCTGTAACACCTTTAAGCATAAAGTGCCATTAAGTCACAACTGGCTTAGGGTGACCCCAGCAAGGGGCTTTCGAGGCAAGTGAGAAGCAGAGGTGGCTTGCCATTCCCTTCCTCTGTAGAGTCTCTTTTTTGTTGGTCCTCTTTCCAAGTACTGACCCTGCTTAGCTTCCGCGATCTGACGAGATTGGGCTACACCATGTCGCCTTCCCCCTAAATGTGACATTAGAAAACACCATTTCTGTAAACATTTCAATCTACTAGGACACTCGATGTAAAAGTCACCGTTCTTCAACAAAGGAACTTCAAAGGGGACATGAGTGCAAAATCGCTGAACTCAGCCACAGTTTTAATTGTAATCAGAGTTTGATTATGAAAATGGGGAGGGATGAGCAGCCTGATTAGCCCAGTTTGGCCGGAGGCCTTGGGAACTAAGCAAGCACATTCAGTGATTGGATGGAATACCGCCAAGGAAAATGAATTGTTGCACAGAGGACGGCAATGGCAAGCTGCCTCTGAGTACCCCTTGCCCGGAACGCACCGTGGACAGCGCTGCAAAATCGCTGAACTCAGCAACAGTTTTAATTGTAATCAGAGTTTGATGATGAAAATGGGAGGGATAAGCAGCCTAAGTAGCCCAGTTTGGCCGGAGGCCTTGGGAACTAAGCAAGCACATTCAGTGCTTGGATGGAATACCGCCAAGGAAAACGAAATTGTTGCACGGAGGACGGCAATGGCAAGCCGCCTCTGAGTGCCCCTTGCCCGGAACGCACCGTGGACAGCGTTGCCATGAGACACTTGCACCCGGATGGCATGTTTCTTCTTAAACAGCAATGACGCCTGGTAGAGGAGTGAAATTGCTTAACGTAACTAGGCAGACTTTTTCACCCCAGTCACAGCTGTTGTGAATGATCACTGTGTTTGTCTTGTGTACTTTTGCCTTTTTTGCATAGAAACATCACGCGTTATACCTCTTGCAGTTCATCCCCACTGTTCACAGTTTCTTCCTTTTGTGTGTGACAATAGATCTGTGAGCTGCCTCATGCGTGTGATGAGGTGGCCTGTCGTCCATGAAAGCTTATGCGAGAGTAATGGCACGGTCCTAAAAAGAAGTTCCTGGGAGTAAGCCCCTTGAATAAGTTTCAGTAGGATTCTGAATGGGACTGGGCTGTAAATCTGCTGGCCTGTGGGGTGTCGTAAAGGCTTCTTTTTTCATTTTCCCAGCATCCTAATGTGGCTTTAAAGGGGATTTTTCCCTCCCCAGATGACTTACTACTACTGCCCCCCCCCCTCCAACCCAGAGATTCTATATTGCATTTACTGATCTGGTTCTCCTTAACAAATGTGATTTGCAAATGATGATCCTTTCTTTGTTGAGGTTACTGCATTTTTTAAAAAAAGAAACTTTCCTGTGTTGTTTTAACAAAATACGTATTGACATAAGTATACCTTTTTTACTTGGGCTTGGTGTCACTCCAGATCTAAAAATCTACCTTTGAAGTGGAAGGTGATGCATATTAGGTGGCATTGCTTTAAAAATCTATACTCAAATTTCACTCTGTTTTTTTTTTCCTTCTTTTTGTGTTCTTTCATTTATATGCAGAAAGAAAAGAAGAGTGGACTCTTGAAACTTCTGGCCGGAGCGTCAACGAAAAAGAAACCCCGCTCTCCTCCGTCAATGTCCCCGACACATGACCCCCTGTCCGTGGTGGAGGGGATGCTGCAGGGCGCCATAGGACCCGAACTGTCTTCTCTCTCTAGCCACGGGAGGGCAGGCTCGTGCCCCATCGAAAGTGAAATGCAAGGAGCAATGGAGATGGAACCGCTGCACAGAAAAACAGGCTCCTTGGATTTGAATTTTTCTATCCCTTCTCCCATAAGGCAGCCGCCTCTTTCGATGGCAGCCATCCGTCCGGAGCCTAAGCCATTGTCTCGAGAAAGGTACCCAAACGTGCAGGATCCTGCCTCTTGCTTGCATATCTGTTTGCATTTGCATGCATTTTTAGTTAGTTAGTAACAGCATACAAGGGTGAGAAAAACACAACTTTTTTTTGTTAGAAGATTCGTAGTATTTAGACATTTGTGTGAAAGAGTGGTCCCAATGACCTGTGAACACCACTCCATTCAGCCGTCCGAGGCATCTAGGCACCAAGCAACTGTCTGGAGTCTCCCCCTGGTGTCATGCTGCTCTTGCAGCGCACCCAAGCCTTGGAGGAGTTTCCCTTTCTCAGTTCTTCAGTATGCTGCCACCAACGTTGGAAGATTCGTAGTAATTAGACGTCCGTGTGAAAGAGTGGTCCCACTGACCTGTGAACACCACTCCATTCAGCCCTCCGAGGCATCTAGGCACCAAGCAACTGTCTGGAGTCTCCCCCTGGTGTCATGCTGCTCTTGCAGCGCACCCAAGCCTTGGAGGAGTTTCCCTTTCTCAGTTCTTCAGTATGCTGCCACCAACTGTTGTTTTTAGGAATTACCTACTCCTGGCTTTCTTTCCCACATTGCTGTTCTAAGGCTTTTCCAGCTGCCTGCATCTCCTGCTACCCAGAGACTGGTTACAAGGGAGACAGCTTGCCACCAATGCTCCCTCTAACCTGTGGAATCTGGCGAGCAAAAATTCTACCTTGTGAGCTACTGGCAAAGTTGTGAGCGAGCCATTTGGCTACTGCATAAATTAGTTTGCTCTGGAGCCATCCCTTCCTGAGCTAAGACAAAAATGTGTGAGCCAGAGGCTAAAAAACTGTGAGCTAGCTCACACTGACTTGGCTTACAGGGTACACTGCTGGCCACACTTTCACACTCCCAGGGAAATAACGATTTAGCAACTGATCACCTCCGTTTCCCAGCACGCATTTTAAATAGTATGTTCAAACAGTGGAGGTCTATGTGGTATGGAAAACAACTTCCAAGCATTCAAAATAGTGTAGAACTTATTAAAAGTAAAAAGTACACATACTCTCTACATAGCAATGGATTGAGCAAGGAATACAAAAGAAAGGTGCAGACATGTGATTCTCGTCCCTTGCTTTATAAATGCCCTGGCTGATGTTGTTCAAAGGCAGGCACTTGAAGCTTAGAAGCTACAGTTTTGTGAAAGCTTCCTGCTTGTCCACCTAGATCCAATCCTCTCTGATTCCTTGCACTTGTTTTCAACAAAGCATTTCAGCTACAATCAGCTCCAAGAGCTTTAGCACAGTCCCAAACCCATGTCCAGTCCAAATCCTGAATGTATTTTTTAGAAACAAAGAGGCCAGGCTTCAAAACTGCCAGGAAACTACTCTCACCCTAATCTCTGTAGTACAATGACTTCCTCAGTCTACTCAACTGTGAGACAAATGCACTCTGAATCTGTCCATAGACCCTTAGCCTGTTCTTCCTATAGCCCACAGTTAAGCCCTGGCACTAAAACAGAAGATGGATCTCACACAGATTAAATACTGTCTGCTCTCCAAAATTCCGTGTGCAGTTGTGATTCCATATTTTGCAAGAGTTCTCCTTCCTCTGCCTTTGGTAGACGAGACACCCAGGAATGATCATGTTCTTGTTCGGCCTCTTTGGAGTTGATGATAACCCTCCTGAGAACCAGATTTAAGCCTTTAGGATCTGGAAGCTGAGCGACCATTAAAGAAAAGGCCCTACATCAAATCTAAAATAGCCAATCACCTGCCTGTCGGAGATAAATATGAATTGCCACCAGCTTTACAAAGCTGATTCTCTTTTTTATAAATCTCTAAGACTTCTCTATATGGCTACTATCAAAAAGGGCCAGTGAGAACATTCCCCGAATTGAATGCAAAAGGCCTTTACTGTCATATTGATGTCGTGGTGCTAGCCAAAAACAGAAAAGTGACACTTGTTACTCATTTCCTTTCTTTTTTTTTTTACAAATCACAACCATTCTTAGCCCTAGGAATAAAAGTTAAGCAAAAGCAGAGCTCCAAATTATGGACTGTAACATGCAATCAAAGGCCTATCTAGATGTTTGATGTTATCACAATGAACTGCAAGTGGATTTATACAGATGGAACCATTAAAACATTACAGATAGTCCTAATTGCGCGGTGCAGCAGTTAAGAATTTGATTCTGAGTTTTCGGCATTTTGATTTCCAAAGTATGAGAATAACCTCTAATTGAAATAACCTTAATTATACTCAGCAGGCAAGATTTTCTAATTGATTTATGAATTAACTTCCCTATTACTGGTGAATCCACATTCTTTAACTGATCATATGGCTCTTTATGCCTGTAAATGAGGAATATTAATTACCTTAGCACACCAGGAAGGATTATGCCATCACTGGAATCATCTGAGCGGCTGCATTAAATACTTGCCTAGAAGTTCATTCCAAATCCATTTGAGCTCATTAAAACACTGAATTGCTCAGAAGTATGTTTTTTTTAAAGATGTGTTTAACGTTACATTTCACATCTGGCAGAGCAGGAACTTTTGCATCTCTGAAAGCTGTACATTCTTGCCTGCATTGTAAGTATATTTCATTGGCAAAGTAGAACAGATTATTTTGATCCATACAGGTCTCCGGGTAGGATGGGGGGAGGTGGATTTCACTGATACATAAAATCATTAGTTGATTCATGGTTTATGCAGTAGTAGCGTTTTGATGCCTGCCTACACAATAGACACATATGCCGGACAGTCATTGCCTATTGCAACTACCCGTGGTGTTTCCACTACATATTCCAAAATATTCCTTGTTTAGAGCCTTCACGTTTTATGTAGGTGCCAAACATGACTGAGAACAGACCTTTTGGAGTGGATTTAATCCAATTATAAATGCAGCGAGTTCATGGAATTGCCTTTTCCACCTTTCCACTGCAGCTATCAGGTTCAGACTAAACATGGGTCCATTTCAAGTTCTTCCCTTTGTTCTCCATAATGTGTGGTAAAATTTAACCCTATCCTGTTGTCCTTGCATTGTGCATCTGCTGTAGCCAATTATACAGGCAACATGAAGAAATTACTCCAGGACATAGATAAGTTTAATTACACATTACAGGGAGGGAAATACAGTATAGGATTGCCATAATATCAGGGGGCCACAGTAACCTCCCCTGGAACGGATAGGGTTGTGCAATACTGGAGAGAGGGTTTTCTAGTCACGCGGGATCCTTGGGCGTTGCCATGTATAAATTGTTTTAAATTGTTTTATTGTATTTTATTGCACTTTTGTGCCTTATGGTTGTAAGCCGCCCTGAGCCCGCATGCGGGGAGGGCGGGGTATAAATGAAATTAAATAAATAAATAAATAAATAAATGTTACTTCAGGCCTACATTTCTCATGATATACAGCTCCAGTCTGCTGTATAATATGTGGAATCCAGCTGCTTCCACACTGGGGTGATGCCTTTTTGTGGATTCATTGCTGCTGCAAATGCACAAGCATTCATATTAGCAATGGAGCTCCCCCAGCAGCCAATTCACCATTTTTTCTCCCAATCCCTTTTTACCCACTGTCACCCCATGCTGCCAGTGGGCTTTTTGCCAGCTTTGTTTTTTAAAAAGCCACTAGTCATTATATTGCTACAGTGTTATAGAGATATACTTACTGTCATTTTTAATAGTGAAAAATAGCACACAGATACAGGCATTGAGTTTCTGAAATCCACACCTTTCTGTCCACGTGTTTTACAAACCTGCTTTGACTCTGAAACCTCAGAGAAAAGCATGTTGGAAAAAACCTGAAGTCAGACCTCCCTGCAGCACAGAACGCAATAGAAGGTACGCAAGTATAGGATGGCATTGTACAGGAGCTCCAAAAAAACAACAACCCCGAAACACTCCAGTTTGAGAGCAAATCCTTGTGTGGAAGCAGCCTCAGTAAGAAAAAAAGAACAGAAACTGGAGACAATTCTAATGCATTAAACTGTATATAAGGGGTTTTCGTTCACAATCAAAGGATGAGCTAACTTCATCCTCCAGTTTTTATATACTGAAAATATGAACCTATGATTGAAATAGATTGGAGGGGGAAAGTAACTAACTCATGATAAGATCAGGGGCACTTTATGTCATTTTCATTCTCAGGTCATGCAAACTGTATGGGGCTTACATGTCAAATGCAGGGTAGGAAAAGGTCACAATCCCCATAAGCGAACAAGTGATGTGCGTGGCCCCAAAATACCCAGTTAAACGGGTTTGATAGAGTAACCTGAAATTCCTTGGTAATGTCAGTTGAGTGTTCTTATCTCTTGACTAAAGAGAGATTTCTCAATATGTCTCAGCACTGTAGGGTACTAACTTGTGCTCATTAAATAGCACAAATAGTAGAAATAGCCAGCTGCACACAAAGTATACTGGCACTAGGAAAAAATATCATGCAAATAGGCTGAGATTAGAGCAGTTAGCCCATTGAAGATAAGGTCTTGGATCCTGTGACATCATTTACCTTGCACTTTTCTCCAGCTGCTGTGGCATTCACTTCCTCTGCTGCTAACATTTCTGCATGTTGAAAATCAATATTTGTCAAGGATTTCTTTTGCACATGGAAGTGCTAGTGGCGGAGGAAGTGAGCACCACGTCTGCAATGGCCAGCACTCAAAGGGAACTGGGCTGTAAGAACCAAGCCTTAAAATTTACTGACTATTGGCTTGTAGTAATTAGATGTTAATACATACATAAAAGTGCTATGATGGAATGGGCTCTCAAGCCCTTCCCTGTTCCTTCTGATTGGAACCCCTGGAGGTCAGAGGAGCCCCCTGAGGTACAAGTTACCCCCTAAGTAACCACTAACTGCTACCAGTGGATCTTAGGAATATCGGGAGGCTGTCTTCATCCATCATTGTGTAATGCCCTCTCAGTGCACTATAGCGGATGTTTGCAACTGGATTTACCTGCATGAAAGAGGAAAATCCAGTAACTTGCAAATGATTGCTATAGCACATTGAGAGGACGTGATGCAATGTGAGCGAAAGCAGTTGTGTTCTG